ACCTCTTCAGCATGCCATCGTGTTTGGCAAAGGCCTGATAACAAGCCATTCATTTGATTCGGGTGTGTGGGAACAAGGATGCATCTAAAAGCTGCAGGACGGTAGCTCTCGAGGACCGGGATTGGGCACACCTGATTTACACCCTGAGGACAGACAGGAAACCTTTGGCACCGTGAGCTGAACCGGCTCAAACTGCCAAACTGCAGCCTCAGAGTGACGACTGCAGCGGATCCAAAAATCACAGCATAAAAGCAACTTCCTGTTGTCTCCTCAGGAGCTCTGATACAATGTTTTGTGCCACGTGGATCATTCACAGACATTCAGTCCCTGTTTATTGGTCCTAAATTCTGTTCAGGTTAGGATAAACCCCGCCCACTCACATCAGCAGTTCTCTTCGCTTCCATTGGAGGGAGTATCAGTCACTTGTCTGACTGAGGTTTGGGTTTAACAAAGATCTCCTCGGGACTCAAAACATCTGGCTGCAGATGCTGTGATTCATGATAAACTCAGATCGTTGTGACCTGAGACCACCAATTTGTGAGAGACAGCCAATCACAGGAAGCAGCTTTGAAAGGGAGGAGTTAGAACTTGGAGAGCGGATTATTCTGAATCCAGAAATTGAACCGCGGAATACTTGCAGCAGACAAACCCACAGACGGCGTCTTCTCAGACCACAAAGCCTCGGTAACAAACCAAGCGGGCACCTACCTGTCCAAGTCGTCCACAGGTGAGCGGAGTGTGAGGTCGATGCCGCAGACGGCTCAAATAAAGCTTCTCTGACTCCAAGCATCATGTGGTGGATTAGCGAGGATCCAGGGCTTGGTGCAGCACCGGGATTCGCTGCAGCAGCGAGTTGGCGTCCAGGATCCTCTGCTTTAAGCCTGACTAATCACTAATGACGGACAGGTGGGGGATAGGGAAGGGGCGGGGCTTCCAACTGACAGGTGGCAGTGGAAACACCGAGTGGGCTTAAAACTCTCAGTTTACTCTGTGCAGAAGAGTCATGCAACACCCAATACTGTTATCAAAACTGGTCGCTAAGGAAATGTGCGGTTTATTTTTGTTTTCTTTTAGAATAAATGACTCATTGTGAGGGAAACGCATCTTATCAGCAGGCCACGCCCACCGCACCCATGGAGATCAATAAAGTTTAATCTAACCTGCAGGGATAATGGGTCCTGATTCATCTGTGGTGCTGACCCGCTTTAAAAATAAAATGTTATTTGTTTCACACAGCTGCTGCCTGATGACATCACACTTCAGTGTCACGATTACTTATTGATCTTCAGCAGCTGATCAACAGAGCCTCTGATTCAGACTCAAAGCTTCTCCTGAAGCTCAGAGTGCAGACAGATCTTCAGTTATTGATCAGTTATTGCTCACAGGTCATCTGGACTGGATCAGAAGTATGATCAGCAGAGAAGAAGAACCTGGGATTTGTTGATCTGGCATTTCATGGCTTCATAAACCAAATGTGTCCCCACGACTCCTCTTTGACGATTCAATAGTGTCACAGAAACCAAACACCAGTCTCCAGGCAGGACTTTAATACCTGATGATATCACCGACTCTGATCAGGTACCTAACACACGTGAGCGTGTTGTTGTGTTTCCTTCTTCTGTTGTTGGATCCTCGAGTAGAGCACAGCAAATGTCCTCGGATTCTTCTCACAGAGCTTTGTGCATCGCAGCGCCCCCAACAGGTCAAAGTCTCAACTTTCAGATTCAACTTCCTGTTTCTGAGTACAGTCTCATCTCTGATTGGTCCATGCTGATTGGTCCATGCTGCCCTCCGTGTGGAGGATGGGGCAGGCGGGCCGTGGTGTGCTTCAGTAAATGAAGAGTCAGTCCCTCAGGAGGTCCTGAGCTCCTTTACTTCCTGTCTTTGCTCCTTACGACAGCGTGTGATACCTGGTGTTAGGTGAGACAGGTGAGTCGCAGGTGAAACAGGTGTGCCGACGCCCTTGCCTCCTCTTTGTTCTGCTAAAAATCAGACCGCTGGCTCAGTCCGAAACCCGACTCCCAACCGCCCCCAGTTTCCCATTTCAAAGCCATAATCCTGTAGCAACACCTGGCAGGTACGGTTACATCACACTGTCGTCACAGCAACCACAACACAGCCAAACAGGGAGAGCTCCAGGGAGACGCCCAGAAGATGGGACAGACGTTTTTCACTTTGATCTCAGAGTTCATGGGAAAAGTTTATAAGTGATATCATCATAATGCGTGTTTCCACTCCATTTATACCTGCTGTTGACATCACACACAGACCCTCATGACAACACGTCCACTGACCCTGGATTCAGTTATGGTGCACAGTACAGCACAGTTAAGACCCGCTCACCATGGACAAAACCCTCCAACCACCAAGCTGAACACAATCAGAGGTGGAGTGGAGCAGCACAGTCATGGAAACATCCAGAAATATCCTGCGAGGCTCTCAGGAGGATGGCAGGCTGACGATGGTTCCCATGAAGAGCACTGATCCAAGACCAGCTGTGGCCTGCAGCAGCCTGACAGGAAGCCCACATACAAACACTCGATTACACAACCAGCTCAAAGGTCCTCCAACTGTTCAGCTTCAGAGCCCGCTGACCTTTGACCTGCAGGAAAAACAACCCCATCTTCCAGCAGTAAACACACACACAGCTGAAGCAGGTCTGATCACACCTTCTGTCAGAACCACTTCAGTGAAGTAACAGTGACCTAGACGTGACCTCAGAGAGGCTCATTATAGTGTATGGGGGAAGGAGCTTTCTGATAAACATCAGGTGACTGTGACCCGGTCAGGTCACTCACCTAGCTGCTCTGCTCTCGGCAGTGATGGCACGAGGTTCAGTGCACCACATGAATCCAGGTGTTAGCCGGTACCACCGGGAGGAGCAGAGAGCTTCCAGGCCGAGCCGAACAAGTGGAGCACCGGGCAGCCCTGTGCATATAGCCGGGGAGGGTCGCCTGCTGCCTGGGCCGCCTCACACACCTGCCCGCTGACTGCTCGGATCCGCCATCAAAAGCAGGCAGGTGTTTTTATTCCGGAGAGAGCGAGCACCCGGGCGCAGGGAGGAGCTGCCCTTCACCTTCATTTACTATTATGAACACACAGTGTGCCAAACTCCATTTAAGATTCTGTTGATTTAAGAAGAACTGGACTCCAGCCAGAATAAATGAAGGTGTGGGCTGTAAATGAGAAGCTGGGAGCTGAAATGGAAGCTTCCAGCCATTCCGGCGCACACACTGCCCGCTCCTAGCACCTCTATCCGGAATAAACTGGCATTAAAGTTGGTCTTTAGCTCCAGTCACCCATCCACTAAGACTCTTTGAGACACACCAACAGCAACAGAGAGCGCGGCCATAAAAGTTTAATTTACACTCACTTGAGCCCTGTCTGTGTTTTTGAGTGAAGCCGAACTGAGGCCGAGACACTGGAGCTTCAGGTAAAGAGGACTCGGGTATGTGTGTGCGCGCGCGCGGTCACAGCTTCACTGTGTGTGATCTTTCCGGCGGAATCTGGTGTGGGAGCCCGTGACCGCAGGGCTGCTGCCACAGAGTAGAGGGCAGCTCAGCTGCTCCGGTCCGCAGTTCCACTAAGGTCAGAGGCTCGAAGCCGCTCACAGACCACCACCCACGGCTCAGAGCCGCCGGACTAACCCGGACCTCAACGCCCCCCCTCCGCGGCGGATCAGGAGACTCACCTGCAGGTGCGGCTTCAAAAATCCCGAGGTCACAGAGACATGGCACAGTCCGCGCTGAGAGCTCCGGGCGCTTCACCGGCTCCTGCCTGCACTCTGTGTCTGAATAACTGCACTCCTGTTCGGCTGCGGGAGCTCCTAGCGGAGATTAATCTGCGGCTGACTCTGGATCAGCTTTAAAGCAACGGACCGCAGTAGAGGGCGGTGTGTGCCCTGAGTGAGGACTGACAGGACAGTCTGCCTACTTGACCACGCCTCCTTCACGCCAATCAGGTCGTTAAGTCTGACGTCACTAGCCGTGTCTGGGCCTAAACTCTGCTGCAGGTCCATATATCAAATGATTACTCAGCATTACTGAGAGTTGAAAAACTGTCTAAAGTCTTAAATCTTTAATAAAATGATCAGCGTTCTGCTCTACCAGGTGTAACAATTGAGTTTAACATCCAGGCATCCATGAAAACGCAATTTATGACATTTAACGGAGTTAGAAGTTAGCAGGAAGTTAGCTCGCTAGCTTCTATCTAAATACAATATAGCATGTCCTGACTGCGGGGTTTTGGACGTGATAACAGAGCTGTACGTTTGAATTTGTTTCCAAAACCCCGCAGTCAGGACATGCTATATTGTATTTAGATAGAAGCTAGCGAGCTAACTTCCTGCTAACTTCTAACTCCGTTAAATGTCATAAATTCCGTTTTCATGGATGCCTGGATGTTAAACTCAATTGTTACACCTGGTAGAGCAGAACGCTGATCATTTTATTAAAGATGAAAGACTTTAGACAGTGTTTTAACTCTCAGTAATGCCACAGTGATCATTTGATATATGGACCTGCAGCAGAGTTTAGGCCCAGACACGGCTAGTGACGTCAGACTGAACAATCGGATAATATGAACTAATGAAATAGTTATGATATTGGTAATACAGAGAAATAAAAAACAAAAATAACTGGAAACATTTTATTATCAATATTTTTTTATTGAAGTTACAGTGTGTCAATTTTTCACTAACAGATGTCAGTGGCTGGAGTCTGCTGAGTTTTGTTTTCTTAACCCTCCCAAATCAAGAGCATAATCCTAGCTACGGTGGCTGCTGTAGGACAAAAATGTTTTAATCAGCCAAGAGAGATCAAAGACACTGAATCTAGATTTTACCTCATAACAACTGGCATATTTCTACTACTTTTTTAAAAATACATTATAAACACATTTGAATAATATCAATACTTAGCAATAAATCTGGAATAAAACCCAGAAATGTGTCAATTAGATATTTTGGGTTCTCCTCAAAAATGTGGGCTACTGTTCATCTGCAAAGTTGCAGGTTCAGATCTGGCTCGGAGTTTTCCCTCTTGCAAAGGCTGGCAGTGTGTATCTGTTTACTCTGGAGGAGGCTGCAAAACTTCATGAAAGGACTCAGACATAAATAAATGGTAAATGGCCTGCATTTGTATAGCGCTTTACTAGTCCCTAAGGACCCCAAAGCGCTTTACACTACATTCAGTCATTCACCCATTCACACACACATTCACACACTGGCAATGGCAAGCTACATTGTAGCCACAGCTGCCCTGGGGCGCACTGACATGAGTCGATGACTCAGTTATTAAGCTCAGATCCCACTGATAAAAACTATAGGTGAGCTGCTGAGGATATGCTGAACTTTTCTGCCGTAAAACTGCTCTTTGTTCCACTGCTGGGCTACGCTAGCTGCTACTAACCTCCATTAGCTTCTGTTAGCATCTGTTAGCCCTGTCTATAACACAGTGTAAAAACGTAATTAACCTGTTTTTACATTAGATGGATTTTACATTATTGTGGATTGAATGTTATTAGTGCACCAGTTCAGTGCTCGCCACTGAAAGCTATAAATATCTTAAAAATATTCCAAAATGAGGGACATATTGATTTTTGATCTATAAATGTCTCAATAAACCAATAATCTTCAATTTATTGAGACAGTGCTGATCAGGTCACCTAAAGCTGCCTTCCAGCCTACACTCAGGGAAGAAGGGGGCCCTTGCAGTGATAAGGCAGCGAGGGCCCCCCCTGCTGGGACAGGACACACTCAGCAACAGAGAGACAGAACCTCTGCCTGCAGTAAAACACCATGGTACTAGTACTCAGTAAAAGTATCCGAGTACAGTCAGGACTCTTCCACGTGGCCTGAACCCAGAGATCAGTTTGT